AAATCAATAACTCTCATGTTTTTAGGACTAGAGTGAGTAGAATTTTTGATGTATTTTTTTAATATGTAAATTAATTTCTATTTATATACCAATCTTTAAATAAAAAAAATTAAAACACTTGAAATTTTACTTCATTTTACATAAAATGTAAATCATTTAGGAGCGGAGGAATATATAACAATAAATTCAAGTTTATGATTGTAATTAATAATGAAATAATGAAGTGGGTGCCGATCACTTTAAGACAAAAGGCAAATTCTTTTAGATCTTTAGGTCTATACTAATCAATTATTTAAATTTTAATACATGAAATGATTGTATGTAGAGTAAAATTTTCAAAATAGTACTCAATTACTCTATATTTTTCTAAATTAATCCTCGAGATTAATTAATTGTCAAGATGATACTCAATAATTGAGAATAATGCATGTACAATTTAATCCATCAACTACAGTCATCAAAATGGCGTGAAAGTGGTTTTAAAACTTGTACTACTGGTACTAATTTTCCAAAATAATCCTTCCTAATTGGATGCTCTTCCACATTAGTCCACTTCTGAAATAAAAACTCATTAAATATGAAAAAATATTTAAACAAATTATAGAACGATAATATAATAAATAAAATTTAATAATTTAAAAATAAATGTTTCTGATTGTTTAAAATTAATTAGAAGAATACTATGTAAATAAAATACGGAGTATTTGATAAACAGATACATCCATTCTATAATGAAACTCTTGCTTTGGTTTATGATATTTGATCAAAGTTATTTCAAAATGAGGAAACAAATATAAAACATTTATTAAATATTTTTTTACGTTATAAATTTTTCTAAGCCATTGTAAATAAACCAAAATGTTTACTTTAAAATTTATAAAACTATATTAAAAGTTTTATAAATTTCAGAGTAAATGTTTCAAATTATTTATAATGATTTAGAAGAATATCATGTAAATAAAATATTTAATAAACGTTATATTTAACTTTGATCAAATATCGCAACCCAAAGCTAGATTTTTTTATATTTTATTTACTGTTTATCAAATATTTATTTACATGGTATTCTTCTTAATATTTTTAAACAATCACAAGCGTCTATTTTTAAATTATTAAATTATATTTAAAGTTTTATTTATTATATTCTTACTATTAAATTTTTAAATAATTTTCCATATTTAATGATAATTGTTTCGAAAGTTGGCTAATTTTAAAAAATACCAAATTAAAAATGACTATTTTGAGAAATTAGTATAAGTCCTAATGCTATTCTAACACCACTTTGACAACGGTTAGTCGAATGACTAAGTACATAATTATTTAGTACTTCCTCCGTCCCGCAAAAAACTCTCCCATTTTGACTTTTAAAAGATTTAAGGGGTGTGTATTTAAGTATTAACTTTCCAAAAATGCCTTTTGATGTGATGGATAAAGTAGGATGTGATGAGTAGATTAAAAGAGAAAAAATGTGAAGTGATAGGTAAGTTAAGAATTATTAGGGATAAAAGTGACTTTTTAATAGAGAAGTGGAAGAGTTTTTTGGAACGGATGAAAAAGGGAATAAGAAGGGTTAGGTTTTGTGGGACGGAGGGAGTACTATTTTGAAATTTACTCTTGTATGTGTCTTGGGCCTTGTAGAAAATAAGATCCAACTATAAGCCCATTAAAAATTTGTGAGAAAGCCTAAATTTTACATGCGGACCTTAGAACTACGATAACATAATTTTACATTGTTGATTGTTTGATAAAATAAAATATTCTTGTCATCTCTTTTTTTTGGAAAACTTTTGATATAGTTTCTTAAAATGTAAATTTATTTTTTATTGATGTATCAATTTATAAATAACATGATCTCAAAAATAATAAAATTTTATCTCGTAACTCTTAATTTATGATCAAAATAGAGACGAAGGAAGTATTAGACCTTTGCCGAGAAAGTAGGGAATAAGGTTTTTTTTCCGACAGAAGATCGATACTGAGGAAGTGACGAAGTACGCGTAGAATACACAGAGTATAGATAGATAGAATGAAGGAGCGTGGCAGGTAGCGATTTGCACTGATTATAATGTCACAATTGTTTCGTCACGCAAATACCTACAGTACCCCCGTCCTATATTTACACATATAAAAGTACACTCTCAAAGTTAGCACAACCCACTACTGTCGTCTACAGTACTCATTATCAATCTCTTCTTAAAATCAATGGAATTTCTTGTGATATACGGAGTATATATGCATGGAGTATTACTTTGGTTCAATTCTTAAAGTCGGTGGGGGTTGCGCAGTTGACAATGCAAGGAGTACTAAGGGGATACGATCCGAATTCGATTTCTGCCAACTGCACTGGAAGCAACTATGCTAAACATAAGTCTTACCCCTTGGCACCTGCGCAACGCTCACAGTGTGGAGCATGTTTTAGTTGTATATTGTATGGAGTACTAGAAGTCCATTCCCTCCATGCCAAAATGAAGTTTCCCTTCATTATTGACTTGGTAAAAGCTTTATCTATTTTTATTATTGATGGATATTTGGCTCAGCGAGATTAAAGAATGGGCCCAATGTCTTTTTTTATTCACTCCGTGTTTGCGTTTTGTGGGCCGAGAGCCTGAGAAGAGTGTAATTTGAGGTTCGGGCTTGGACTATGGGTTAGCTGGCGAGAGAGTAACCCCCACTGACAGTGTTTGACTGATGACTGCTTCTCTGTCCATAATAGACACCAATCAAATCAATGATGACGGAAATCCGGGACAACGATCAATTTTCATTAATAGGGTAATGTGTTATCTATAAATAGAGGGTAAATCTCATCTGTAAACACAAGCTGAATCAAGTTAATGCAAGCACTATTAATATCATATTTCAAGAGTCCTTTATTTCCTTTTTATTGTTCTTCATGCCTCCATATATAGTCGGTTGGTTAAAACCATCAATTATTAATTTAGTAAAACATTATAGTCGCTCATGTCACCTTTTTGAAATTTTTTAGGTAGTATATTTAAATTTTATTTTTAATTATAGACTAATTTTTTAATACATCAAATCGAAAATAACTTCAAGCAAATATCGTAAACCTTGATAAGAACTTCATTTTCAAACAAAAGGAGTAAAAGTTATTCTCTTCGTCCAACTGTTTTGTCTCATCCTTTATTTACATGGTCAAGTTAAATGTACTTAATTTACTTATTAGTTATCATTTGTGTACAATAATACACATTCATGTCATTCTTGTTTTATACTTCCTCCATCCTAGAAAACTTTTCTAGTGTCGAACAACTTGCAAAAATCCATTTTATCTAAAATGTTACTTCCCCCATCTTGTCAAAGACAAAAAATGATGCACTCTAAGAATGTGTAACTTTAATCTTATTTTCTAATTTTGCCCTTATTTTAAAATAAGGTGGAATATGATGTGTAAAATAGATGAGTCATAATTAGAAAATAATATCAAAGTTACCCATTTTTAAGGTGTGTCTTTTAATCTTTGAATAGTTTTATGGAAAGGAAAAGGCTAAATATTATGAAATACTCCCTCCGTCCCCCAGTTTTTGTCCACTTTTGACTTTTGGAACTGTTCATCTAAGCACTTTGACTCATCAAATTCTTTCAATGTGTAAGCCTAAATACAGTTATGTGTGATCTTGTTTGATTTGTCTTAACATATAGATTATTAATATATAATTTCAATAATTTTTTAATAAACAAATACAAGATAAAATGGATTAAAGAAGTGCATTGGATGGTGTGTAAAAATGAAAGTGGATAAATACTCTGGGACGGAGGGAGTATTTGCACTAAATAGCACTAAAACTTAAGTCATTTCCCTAAATAGCACTTAAATTGTTTTATTCCCTAAATAACACTTCATAATATCCATACTATCTAGTGATGATCAATATTTTCTTGAATAATGACTACTGGATAATGACTAAAAGTGCTAGATTGGGAAAAAAACACATGTGATGCTATTTATAGAAAGTCATTATGTTTTAGTGCTATTTAAGTAAATTACTCAAATATTATTTACAAATTGATATATAAATAAAAGTTATAACTTAAATATTTAAAAATAACATCAAAATTATTACAAAACAATCTAAGTGATGATAAAAAAATTTATTTTATCAAATGTCTAATGAAAAAACACACGAAACCAAAAGTTATTGCAAGTATAAAATTAAATACTAAAAAGAAAATATTTCATGAGAATGAGAGAGTTTTATAGTATTATTTAACTTTTAATTATATAAATTTTATTTTTAATTTTACATGATAGAATCCATGAAAGTTTCAGTTAAACGACATAAATAAAAAGAGATCAGACAAAAATATTGGAACAGAGAAAATAGCTACTCCGTAGAAGCTAAAAAATTGATGTTGGGTAAAATAAAAAGACAAGTCAACAGTGCTAGTCTACATTTCTACAGTACAAACTATCCATCACTCCCTTGCTACAGCTCAGCTTTAGAGCCACCACATCCATTTCATTCAATTTCTTTCCTCAAGTGAACATATATTAGCCAATTTTGTGTTAGCCTTCACAAATGGGCTCATTCTTACATTTTTTTCTTTCAAAAAAATAAAACAATAAAATATAGATTTGTCTCACATCTCATTCATATCTTATTCTGATCTTTTTTTTTGTGTTCAAGAAATTATAACGTAACACTTAATAAAAGTCATTGAACTCTCGTACTAACAAGTCTACAACTATCAGAAATCAATCTCGAGACTTCGAACTTAACATTACAAACCATATAAACTACCGGTGCGGGCCCCACCGTCCATTCCAAATCACAACTACTGCACGTAGTACGTGTACTAAACCTGCCACTACTGCTACTTAGCTTCCTTCTTATATACCCCTCCCATTCATCTCCTCTTTTTCATCAACCCTTCCTTCATTCTCTCTCTCTATCTCTCTCTCCCTCTATATATATACATATATACATACACTCCGGGATATCTCTATCTATCTGGAACATAATAATGTCCGTAAATCATTTGACCTCCTCCGCATTCTGGTGGAGTAAAAAACAACACCGTCCCGGCGGCGGCGGCGACGCCATGGAATCCTCGTCCAAGAAGTGCTTCAGCTTCGACCTCAACGACCACGACGACGACCATGCCGCCGGCGGAGAAGACCAAGTGGCGGTCCTCAAGGACCACTTGTTCGAGAAGCCGTTGACTCCCAGTGACGTCGGGAAGCTCAACCGCCTCGTCATCCCCAAACAGAACGCCGAGAAGTACTTCCCGTTGACCGGCCAAGACTCCTCCTCCCCCGACAAAGGCCTCCTCCTCACCTTCGAGGAAGACTCCGGCAAACTCTGGCGTTTCCGGTACGTAAAATCTTTACCTGATTTAGTCAAAGAAAACAGGGAAAAGGTACATTATGGTATACTTTATATTTCGATCCACGCAGTTATTCGTACTGGAACAGCAGCCAGAGCTACGTGCTGACGAAAGGGTGGAGCCGCTTCGTGAAGGAGAAGCGGCTCGACGCCGGAGACGTGGTGCTCTTCTTGCGCCACCGTCTCGACGGCGACCGGTTTTTTATAGGCTGGAGGAGAAGATCAAACGCCGGAGGCGTGGCGGCGAACGGTGTCAGAGAGGAAGGGATCATCGGCGGCGGCGGCGGTCTTCCCGTTGCGGCGGCGGTGGTCAGAGGTGGCTGGAGCCAGTCCTACTACCCTTACCAGCTGCCGGCGGACTTTGCATACCAACCCCAGTGTCTTCATGCAGGTAATATTGTTTTCGATTTTTAATTATTTATTTTATTTATTTTTGCGTGTCCTTAAAAAACACAATCAATAACTTTTAGGAATAAATATTTGGGTTTTTTTTATGTGTATTAAAAAAATATATTTTTTATTGAAATGCTGAAAATAAATAAATAAATAATAGGATCAACATCAATTGGACAATGCCAAACACCATCAAGTGGGAGCTCAAAGACACTGAGGTTATTTGGGGTGAACATGGAGTGCCAGGCTGCTGAACCGGTCAGGCCGGACGGTTTGACCATGACGAGCCAGCAGGTTCAGACCGGCCATCATTATTTGTACCAATATTATTCCAACCCTATGGCGTCGTCCTACAACAACCATTACATTCACACGGTATGTCTTCGTCCCATTTATTTTCTTGAATTTCTCCAATTTATAAATATCGATTTTTTTTTTCATTTTGCACCCAAGAATTACAATTGTAATGTGTTTTTTTTTCCTTGCTAATACTCCCTTCGTTCCACAAAACCCTTTCCCTTTCATTTTTTTGAATTCCCTAAAACACTTCTACTTTCTATTAAAAAACCACTTTTACCTTTACTATTTTCATACCCTACCTATCACATCATATTTTTTCACTAATAAATAAACTATCACATCTTACTTTTACCCATCACATCAGGGGCAAAATTGGAAAGTCAACCAAAATTACACTTTTCTTATTTTTGTCAAAAGTCAAAAGTGGAAGGGTTTAAAGGAACGGAAGGAGTATTAGAGATTGAGTTACAATAACTAATCATTATGACTTATGTGATAAACAAAAGTTGAATGAATTTAGACATAATGTATAACATTATTTAATCAAGTTTTATTGGATCTCGAAAATTATAAGGGTCAGTTAAATTAAATATGAACCAATGAAATTATTTACTACGTGTAATATTTTTGTTGCATCAATCTTATAACAAATTAAATCATTAAGATTTTAATTTTTTGCAATATTAGAGATAAAGTAACTCTTTTGTTTAAAAATGTGTACTCTTTTTTTTAGTAAAAATTCAGAACATTAAAACTCATACTCATCCATCCCACAAATATTTTCATTTTCCAATTTCCTAAAATAATTTTTGATATTTTATTCTCTTTTTAATAAACAAAAGTGGTATATTATTCAAAATAATTATTCCTTCTGTTGCAAACAAATTTTAATTCTAAAATTTTCATTTTTCGAGAATTGCGGCTTCAATTGTTTTGAACAGTCCGATTTCCCGTTGATTTTCTTGCTTCCTTTAATGGGGCAGATAGATACAAAAATAAAATAAAATTAAATACAGCTGCCATAATGCATGGAGGCACACACAACAGTGGTTTCTTGTAAGAAACAACAAGCAAGAAAATATTACTCTACTACATACTACTCCCTCCCTCTTAAAAAAAACTTCCAGTTTCATTTTCTGCACAATTCATAAAATATTTCTATCCAATTTAAAATATCTAAAATACCATCACTATAATTTCTACGCGTAATAAAGGAGAAATATGCTCAAAAAGTGAAACAAGTAGTTTTTTTTAAGACGGAGGGGTAAAATAATTTGCACTATTATTTAATTTTGCCTAAATTAGAATCACAACTCCATTCAATAAATGATAGTGCCAAATTTTAAAATTTACTCACTTCTAAAAATAAAATAAGATTACCTTTTATTTATTTACAATAAGAACCATGTATAAAAAATATAATTTGGGCGGGTAGAGTAAAAGAGGTCAAATTAATAAATGAGTCATAAATGGATGGCAGCTTTGCAAGTTTGGACTTTTATAATGTCAATAATTAATAATTATATTGCGTTAGACAAACCCAAATTCGGTGCCCTTAAGAATCCAAAAACCAAACCAAACCAAAGTCAAGACTAGAAAAGAAAACATTTTCTTTTCTGTACACTATTTTGGTTCCGAAAGTGACAAAACTAATTAATTAATTGCTCTTTCAATATATATTTAAAATGTTTAATAGAAGATCTATTAGATTTTCTTTTTGGATCACCCACACTAATGCCCTACGTGTACTTCTTAGCTAAGCTAGCCAGGTTCATTTATCTTCCAAAAATTAATGACAAGATATATATGTGTGTAACATGATTTAGTATGTGATTTAGTCAAAGCGTATATGATGATGTCCTTGATTAACCACCCTTAACCTTAAAACCATAAAATCAAACAGTACGTCCCCATAACAATAATTAATTAATGAATTAATAATTAATAATGCTATGCATGTTCATATAATACTTTTGTTTGCACTAACGTTGTGTACATTGTACCTAGAATGAATGGCAGGGCACTGCCCCAAGTTTCAAACACCATATTTGGCCACTCCATCCTTCAATGCATTGTACAAACCCTTGGACTACTAAAAATGACAATTAAAACTATATTTTTAAAATTAGTATATTATTATTATTATTATATTATTATTCATCATGAACCTATATAATTAACATGTGGTTTAAACTTCCCAAATGCTATACACCATACATATAACATAAAATATGGTCACCCTATCTAGCCTTCACCTCTATTTTTAGTAACTAACGCTCTAAAAACCTGATTTGTTTTTCGCGCTTCGAAAATTAATTATTTTGAGATTTTTTTGTCTGTAAATATCTATGTACAACATACAGGGGTAGGAAATATAAGTGGCCTACAAAAATCTTCACTCTTTGTTTAATTTATAAAAAAAATATCTTCAACTATATTATTTTAATTTTGATTTTAGTTTGTTATATTTTTTTAATTTGTTTAGTTTATGTAGTGGAGTGTTTTGTTTGGTATAGAAAGAGATTGGAAATGAAGTGTGGAGTTGGTATTGATGATGCACTGAATGTAATGGCAGGAAGAGCAGGATGAGAATTACACAAGCTAAGCTAATAAGCTAAAGGGGTCAATCAGATGAGATATCTTTCAGCAGGGATAAGATCTGTGGAGGTGACATTTAGGACTGACTATACAGAAATATGCATGGGGGGGGGGCCACGTGCAAAAAAGTAAATAATAATTTCAATAATAATAATAATAATAATAATAAAAAGAATTTTTTTAAAAAAAGATATTTCTTGGGGAAGTCCAAGATTTTGCTGTGGCAATTTTATTTGGCTTTCTAAGAAAAAAAGGTGGTGGGCTCAACATGCAATGGTTTAATTTTCACTTTTCATTAGTCCAGGGGGGTAAGGTAATTGAAGGGAAAGAGAGCCCACATCTTATGGGACTTTGAAAGGGAAATGTGCCCTTCTTCTGTGGGGTGGGTGACCCATGATGTAATAGTGTGTGTGTGTGTGTCAGCTGCTGCTAGCTAGGGACTGATTGGGAAGAGAATTTGGGTCATTCCTATCAATCAACAATTTCCACATTTGCTCTCCAAAAAGGATGAAAGGAAGGAAGTGTTATCCCCCCATGATGATATTAAGAATGGAAAATGTTTTTTGTTGTCTACTCTTTTTTATTTTATTTTATTTTTTGAGAATTTCTTTGAGCTTTTTTTTCAAGACAGTCAAATAGTCTCTCTCTCTTGTTTATGTTTGTTGTTTATGTATGTTGTTGCGATGGGAGCAAAGAACTTTTTTTTTAGGTCACCAAGAGCGGTGACTCTGATACCATGATGAAATATTGGAATAATAATATTGTTCTTTGAATTATGTAGTACATGATAGAGTATATATTGGAGAGACTCCTAACACAACTAGAAATAGAGAATGAAAAATAACTAACATACAACATCTACCACAAATAGTAATACTTAATATTATTGTCTAACATCTTCCCTCAAGCTGAACTCTGGCTGAAGCAAGAGGAAGCTTGAACACTAGCTGTAAGCTGGAAACTTTGAGAAGAGATAAGTTTGACATGCGCCGGTGGCTGCTGACGTCATTGGAGAAGAAAGAAGTCTGACATGCCCCGGTGAAGAAGAGAGAAGTTTGACGTGCAGTGGTAGCTGCAGACATCGTTCAAGAAGAGAGAAATTGACGTGCGCTGGTAGCTGCTGACGTCGAAGAAGAAGAGAGAAGGTTGACGTGCGCTTGTAGTTGCTAACGTCGAAGAAGAATAGAGAAGGCTACTTGAGGTGCCTGTTTGACAGAAGATCTTTGACATTTTTTGTCTTTTTATTGGATCCGGGCATTGCCCTATTTCTTTCTTGAAGGGGTGTAGAGGTATTCTTTCCTCTTTCACTATTTCCCCTTTTGGCTTTGCTTTTGTGTTGTTTTTTTTTAGATTTTTATTGGTTCAACAGAAGAGAAAGAGAAGGGAAGTTCATGATTAGAATGAGTGATTTGAGAGAGAAAAAAGTGAGTTAAGAATTGGTGATGGAAGAAAGATTTGGGTCTGAAATTTTGATATGGTGAATTGGAGAGAAACAACAATCTTTTTTTTTCTTTTTTTTTGAGAAGATAGGATGAGTTGAGAGAGTTTGTGAGGAGTTGGAGTTTTTTTTTTAAAGAACCATGGAGATGGCAAGAGAGAAGTTTCTCCTTTGATGGTTTTTTTGTGTGATTTCAACAGGATTTTTTTTTTCTTTTTTTCATTTGAATGGAGAAGTTTATTTGAGGATAAAATATGGAAAAGAAAATAGAGGTGAATAGGAGGGAGTCGCCGTCGCCAGAATTACCGGCGGCGGCGGTGGGAGCAAAGATCTTTTTTTAGGTCACCAAGAGCAGTGGTGGCTCTGATACCATGTTGAAATATTGGAATGATAATATTGCTCATTGAATTATGGAGTACATGATAGAGTATATATAGGAGAGACTCCTAACAAAACTAGGAATAGAGAATGAAAACTAACATACAACATCTACCACAAATAGGACTAGGAAGCTGACTAATAATGAAACAGTACCATCACTAGGGATATTTAATGTTACTCCGTATTGTCTAACACAACCAAATGCCTTTTTGATTCCATTTAACTCTGCATTATCATGAATTAGAAAAAGAAACAAGTTAAATTGTGTGATTCAAATTCATGTAGACAAAAGAAGTACTCCCTCCCTTCCATACATCTTCTTAATAGCTCTTTTTCTTTGTCCACAATATATCTTCTCATTTCATTTTTTAGCAAGTAAAATACCACAACTACTCCCACTTACTTTATTTATTACACCTCACCCACCTCATTTAATGCACTCCACCCATTTTCATTAAGGGTATTTTGGTAAATTTTCACCTTTTTTCAACTCCCCTTAAAAACCATAAAAAGTCAAAATGAGAACATCTTAGGGGGACGGAGGGAGTAATATATATCCAAGACACAACAAATGTACGTGAAATTGTCTGGTTGAATTTTTTTGTTCGAGATATTTATAAAAACAAAGTGAAAAAAATTAGAAATATCCAATAACGGTTTCATTTACAATAATTGTTTATACTACCTCCGTCCCACTCTCTTTGTCCACTTTTAACTTTTGAAACTGTTCATCTAAGCACCTTGACTCATCAAATTTTCTCAATGTGTAAGCCTAAATATAGTCATGTGTGATCTTGTTTGATTTGTCTTAACCTATAGATTATTAATATATAATTTCTTTAATTTTTTAATATACAAATTACAAGATAAAATGGATTAAAGGAGTGGATTGGATGGTGTGCCAAAAGGTAAGTATACAAAGAGAGTGGAACGGAGGGAGTATATGATTGTATGTATCTCATACTCCCTCCGTTCCTAAAAGATTGCCATATTTTAATTTTTTGGTCAAATTGTAATACCTTTTGATTGTAAATTATAAAAAAAGTATACTTAATTATAATGTAAATTTAGTAAAACTAGGTTTATTTAAAATATAGTCTTGAAATATCAAATTTTCATAAATTTTAGTAATTTTAAACTATATTTAATTAATTCGTGATAAAAGAGTTCTACTATCAAACTAAAAAGCCAAACTGTGGTAGGGCCTGTTTGGGAATAGCTTTAGCGATTAGCGTTAGCGTTTTGAAAAGGCTATCCACGGACAGCGTTTAGCGTTAGCGTTTTCAAAGTAATCTGCACCGTTAAAATTTTATCCAAAACGCTAACGCTAATCTCTAACACTATTCCCAAACAAGCCCGTAATCTTTGAGGAACAAAAACAGCAGTAAGAATGGATGGAGTTGAATAAATGGAAAGGCAAGAAAGCAAAAACCAACTGAATAGGCTACCAACTGAAGACAGAACATGAAAGCATACCCACTTCACTCCTACTACTTCATCCACAATATTAACCAAGCATACGTCATCCTTTGGTCACTTTAATTAAATTATAGGCCACCCCAAATGTCCCCCAGGCGGGCAGGGGTCCTAATCCCGAGCCCTATACGGCTATAGGACTCACTCTTGAGTGGTTTAGAATTTATGCATTGTTTGGATAAAAAGAGAATATAGAAGGAGAGAAAATAGGTGGAAAGAAAATACAAAGAAGAGAAAATGGAGAGAAAATATAAAGAAAGTGAATGTTGTTTGGATGAGTAAAAAATGAAGAGAAAAAGTAAGAGGAATGAAAATGTAATAAAGCAAAAAGACACTTTTACCCTTATTATAACTTTTCACAATGGAATGCAATGAAGGACAAAAATGACATTTGTTGAGTTTTCTCTCCATTGGAAGATTTTCTCACCTCTTGAGGGGAGAAAACTTTTTTGTTTCCCCCATTAGTCATTTTCCACTTCCTCCCCATTTTCTCTTACAAACAAACAAGTGAATTTTTTTTGGGAATTGTGTTTTCTTAGTTTTCTTTCCATTCAATTTCACATCATCCAAACATAAGCTTACGCTATTCGATGCGCAGCAGGAACGGGGAAGGCCACGTGATGCGTGAAAAGAAAGGGAACACCCCCCCCATCCCCCATGCGGGAACGAGAAAGGCGGGATCCTCTTCTCGTTTTTCTAATCTGGCCTTTAACGGTCAGATTTGGTTCTTTAATATAACTGTTGGGAACTAAAAAAATTAAAAAATTAAAAATTTTCAGTATTAAAAAACAACACTCTACTTATCTTTTTCACACTTTTAATCAATTTCTTTGAATTCTAGTACTCTCTCCGTTCTAAAAAACACTTCCTCTTTCATTTTTTCCAGTTCCAACAAAGCACTTCCCTTTTCTATTAAAAAACCACTTTTACCCTTACTTTTTCATACTCTACCTATCACATCATACTTTTTCTCTAATAATCTATCCATCACATCTTACTTTTACCCATCACATCAGGGGCAAAATTGGAAATCAACTATAATTTAACACTTTCTTATTTTTGCCCCAAATCCAAATGGGAAGTATTTTTCCAAACGGAGGGAGTACTATTTTTGTTAAATATTTTTTACATTTTCGAATACCATGGATCTATTCCGACCACCTGCATGTGTTTTCCTCCAATTTCATCTTTTCTAAATTTCCGACTTACGCTCAAGAGCCGAGTTCATTCCAAATGTAACAATTTCAAGAATGCCAACAAATTCAGTGGCAGCAACTTTAGAACCAATGATGCCCAACTGTCCTAAGTTTTTGGCTTTAAAAAATAAATTTTTAATGTCATTCCATCAAGCACAATTTTTTATATACCAAAACGCTCGTCTCAATTGAAAAATAATTTAGTAAACCACACCAAAATTACGTCCAAAATTGTCTTGTTATAAGTAAAAAAATCCAACAAGTGCAATACATATAAAAGAAATGTAATGCATACTCGAAATTGAAAAATGTGACATCTTTAGCACATCTAGCAACTCAATGAACACCATATAAAAATAATAGTAATAATCAAGTCTAACGAAAATTCAAATTTGTGGTTGAAGTCTCATAAAATAAAGTATACTCTAACATCAAAATCCAAATCTGACAAGAGGTATATATGTTGATAAAGAGCATGTTCTTTAGAGCTTAAGCTCTTAATTTTTGGTTTCTTTCAATTTTTCCAATTTTTGTCAGTTCCTTCATTCTTTTTCCAGTTTAATTTCTTTCTATTTTTTCGAGTTCATTCCAAAATATTTCAATTTTTTCTAATTTCTTCCAGTTCCTAACTATTTTTATTTTATTCAGTCTTTTTTAATCCCAAATAATGACTCTAAAAATATTATGTTTTCCTGTATTATTATTATTATTATTATTATTATTATTATTATTATAGTTTATAAATTATTTTAAATCTTTTGCCTTTATTTTTCTCATGTCACTATTTCATGATTCACTTTTATTGGGAAAATTGTTCTTTTGAAATTTATATGACACTAAATTATGTTCCAAAAATTATGGATATTTTAGTAATCTAAATTGTCATGGGAAAAGGATCAATATTTAAAATTAAAAAATAATAGTTATACTGCTCTCTCTGTCCCTTACTAAATGACATGTATGTTATTCATGTGGTCAAATTTTATTCACTATCTTTTCCTATTATGAATATAATAAAAATAGTAATAAATAATAAAAATAAAAATAATTAATAATAATAATAATAATAATTAATATTAGGTATTATTTTTCTATTTCTTCTAGTTTTTTTAATTTTTTTTAGTTTTTTTTCAATTTCTTTGAGTTTTTTCTAGATTTTTTCATTTTTCAGTTTTTACCATTTTCTTCCAACATCAAGTTCTTTTTTTTCAAGTCCTAACGAATAGGCTTTTAAAATCGATCTCAATCTTGTGGTTGAAGGGCATAGAATTAGAATTAAAGATATTTATACTCTAGGAACAACATATTTAAAAAACCTTGAGTGGAGTAAAGAAAACACGCCAACTAGCACTTGTGATGAAAAATAGAGACATGGGAAAAGATATGTGCACAGATATACCAAAATAAAATGTTAATGTGAATATGAGATAAAAAAAAGTTATTTAAAAAATAATCATATATACACAATTCAAATTAGTGATGGCTAGAATTGAAAAAGTTATTACTCCCTCGGTTTAGGAAAAAAAAATATAAAGAAACGTTATTTGTAGTTGAATTTCCAATTTTTACCCTTGACGTGATAGATAAATGCAAGATGTGATATGTAAGTTATCAGTAAAAAAATATAATGTGATAAATAAAGTGAGAATTAATAGGGGGAAATATAAGTTTTTTTAATAAACGGAGAGGAAGGATTTTGATAAATGAAAGAGGGCAAAAGAAGAAGAGGTTCAATGTCCTCAAGTAGGAACCATGTGCCCTAAAGACATGAATCAGGTAGCGGACACCATGACCTACTTGCAATTACTAAGAAATTAAATTAAATATGGATCCCCCCACTGCACCCATTTAATTATAAATGTAAATGGACCCATATATACTTTATATAAACATAGATATGGATAATGACTTCCTTCAGCTAATTAATTAGTGATTGACTACATTTGAGTGTGTTCACTGAACTCTTTTTTTTTTCCTTCATCAAACGCTATATATAACGTAACTACATATTCAGACATTTTCAATGAATATATCTTACAATTTTTGAATTCTCATATTTCCAACTTTCATAAATCTTTCTTTCTCAATTCTCATCTTTCCAACTTTCATTAAACTTTTTACAGATGAGTATATGTGTCTTAAGTTTGTATAGTAGAAAAATTTAGTGAACAATTTTCCCTTTATATGTCGAGTAAATTAAAAATTTAAAAACTTAGAACAAGAAAATTAAGTGATCGAAAGACAATGAAGTTTACATATGAGCCTAAACTAGGTCACACAAGTAGGGCCCGTGGGGACAAAATGGGGAATAGAAGTGCCTAAATAAATTCTATTCCTAAATGCATTAAAGGCAGGTGGACTGACCATGTGATCTATGAAGATGAATGAATTGAAATTAAAGCAGCGGGTGGGCGTTGGGTAGTTGGCAAGACAATGAGTATCAATAGGGTAAGACCCGAGTTCGATTTATAATACTTCGTAACTGTGTTGGGAGGCAACTATGCTAAACATAAGATCTCTGCAAATATCAAGTACATGCTCTACTCTTTACCACCAATCTGCGATCAAAGTTTAATTTACTTTCTCTCAGTGATCTTCCGACCGATCAGATCTGACGTGGCCCTCGGAGATGAGGCTCATCCTTTATGAATTAACGGAGCACCAAAAGGAAGGTGTTGTTGTTTAATTTGAGGAAGGTATATTGAAAAGTTTTAAAAATAATTTAACGTTATTCCAAACAAAGCATAATTAACAAACCCCACCACTTTGCACATCAATCTGGTCCAGAGACACAAACCTAAAAGCATGTTCTATCTCACCCTTTTTTTCATTTTTTCTAGAGAGGCACAACAATGTGTGGTGGTGGCATTTGGCAGGGCTGCCCCCCTACCATTTTACTAGTAAATAATAATAATAATAATAATAATAACAACAACAACAACAACAACAACAACAACAACAACAACAACAACAACAACAACAACAACAATATAATGAACTTCCTCCATGCTATATCATTTTTTCATTTGACTTTTCTCGGTATTTAAATGTTTAATATAACACTCTGATCATTACTATTTACACTTACAAATAAGTATGTCTTACAAATATGATACTTTAAAACAACATGCATTTGGAAATGAATCTATTGGTATTCCATTCGTCTCGTAATTTTCTCTTTGGTTTAACTTGACACAATTCTAAATAAAGTAGAATTTATGTGATTGTTTGTGCAAAAAACATGTAATATAGACCACACAATCTTTTCTTTGAAAAACGGAGATCGTTTTTAGGAAACTCACATAAAAAAGTAGAAAGATAATTATTAGATGGTAGAGGAAATATTGAAATTATTTCATAACTCAATATAATTTGTTGTATCTCGTAGTAAAAATATCTAAAAATTGAATTAGAAAATTAAATGAGAAGAAAGACACCACAAAAGTAATATTAAAACAAAATAGGGGACGATTCTATTGACACTAACTCCGATTGACACTACAGTGCGACTACGATTATGATGCATCTACGATGCCCTGTTCGCAACTTCAACTAAATTTGGGAGGCGCAATTGAAGAGTTCAATCGAGTAAGAATCATCAATTTTAAGAATGGAATATCGTAGGTATAATTGATACTATTAAACTTTATAATAATTGGTCTTACTAAATAATGAACGATACATCCGTATATATAGAGATTACAAGAGAGAATTTTAATTTAAGTAGAAGAAGAATTATAGTAACAATACAATACAATAAGGAAGTAATGTAATAAGGAAGCTAATAAATAATACTCCCTCCGTCCCCTTAAGATGTTCTCATTTTGATTTTTGGTGGTTTTTAAGGAGAGTTGAAAAAGGTGAAAATTTACCATAATACCTTTAATGAAAATGGGTGGAGTGTATTAAATGAGGTGAGTGAGATGTAATAAATAAAGTAAGTGTGTGTAGTTGTGGTATTTTAATTGTTAAAATGAGAAAATCTATTGTGGACAAAGAAAAAAGGCTATTGGGAAGATCTATGAGGGACAGGGGAAGTAGTATTTTATTCTCTAATATATCTATTATTCATAATACCCCCTGCAAGCTGATTATGAGATTCGAAGAGCAGCTTGGATCATTGATACTAGCAGAACAGAGCCAGCGCAAGCAGTTCTGTGAGGATAGCCTATATAAGTAGAGAGTCAGATCTTTGCATGGCGATTGAGCTAGAGATTACATTAGCCGAGTTTTTTCATGGTGGGGGTGTTGGCAATTGGAGCGAGGGTGAAGAAAATTTTCTTTTTTACTCCTTTTGGACCGTTCTTTGCTTCTCTATCACTTTCCATAATATCGATCTCTATAAAACACACGGAGAAATGCAGCTTTTCAGTTATTCGATTACACACATGATTTTTTTGGAAGTGAGAGAGATAATGGATTTTTTTTGGAGACAAGAAGAGGGATAATGGACTATGACTGTTAGGCACGCTCGTCGGGATCGGTTGGTGATGTCATGCCATCAGGTGCTTAATTGCCATGAACAACGACCAGCAATGTACTCGGACAGTAAAGGAAGGGCTGAGTTTTTGAGAACCTTAGCTTCGATACTACGACACAATTTGATAATATTTGGTCGTATAGAATAATGAAGGATACATATGTATATATTGGGATTACAAGATAGAGTTCTAATCTAAGTATGAGAAAATTTATACTCCGTATTAACAATACAATAAGAAAGTAATGTGATAAAAAAGGTAAATAATAATAATAATAATATTCTATTTCCTAATACATATATTATTCCTAACAATAATACTCCAATTGTAACCGGTGTTGTTGGATAACACTAAAAAACAATGTCATTTGATCGTTTCTGGAAATAATAACGCAAAGAGATCGGTGGGCATAGCTCAACTGCTTGAGCAATGGTGCCAAAGGGGATAAATTCGAGTTTGATTTATGACAACTGCGCTAGGAGACAGATATGTTAAGTATAGGCCTCTGCAAGTATAAGTACAGGCTCTATCCTTTGCAAATATGTCTGTGATTATAATTTAATTTAACTACTCTCAAGTGATCGCCCGATCGGTTCTGAGGAACTCCGAAGAGGTGGGCTCATCTTTATTTTTTAATAATTGAGAGAATAAACGAAATGAATGACGGCCCAAAGGGAATGTGGGGAGTCTCTCACCTGGTTGTGGTCCTACACAATACATATAGGCCATGCTTTCAAATCAATAAACTTGCAAAAACAGTGAGAAACTTGGCATAGATTATATCACAGAAATTTTTAGTGGGCATGTTACTAGCTGGGCTCTATATTGAGGGAAGTACACTATGGGTTCGACCCAATCCCGGTTCAGAAATAAAATCGAAGTATTATAAGCTTGTAATATTTGGCTGAGTTGATTCTTTGCTATGATATAAAAGCCTTGTTGATTTAGATGTCACGAGCTCGAATTTTACCGCCACTAAATTTTAAAAGATTAGTGTTCACGTACAAGATCAGTCGAATGGTGACCGGTTTTGTAACCGGACTAAATGTATCAAAATAATCACGTCCCGGTTCTTGAAGAAATCCTTTAGCTACCAAGCGAGCCTTAAAGCGGTCAACCGTGCCATCAGTTTTCCGTTTAATACGAAAAACCCACTTGCACTGGATAGGACGTTGAGAAGAACGCGGGACAAGATCCCATGTATGATTGCGCTGAAGCGCCTGAAACTCGGCATCCATAGCGTCACACCACCTTGGATCCTTGCGGGCCTGCATATAGGTTAATGGTTCTACCAATGCAACAGTGTCAACATGATTAATAAGAGTGTCATTAAAGTAACGGGGATTCAACTTTTGCTCACGGACTGGTCGATTAGACAAGGTAGGGACGGTGGACGTTGATGACGACATAGAGGGGGGACTGTGAGGAATGAGGGAAGGAGACCCATGCGTCCCAATGGGACTGCCAGGAGACACAATAGGGGGAACTGGAGAGGTTTGAGAATTGGAGGTAGCCACTGGCAGGGTAGTTAAACTAGGGGAAATGAAATTATGAGATAGTGGAGGTGACATGGAGGGAGTGGAATTAGTTTGAGAGTGAGCAGGCAGTGTGGGTAGTGGAGATATAGTGGGGGTTGGAGAATCTGAGGTGGAGGGAGACACGACATTGGGAAAAATATGGGGAAGAAATTTGACATGTCGGGAGACATAGATTTTACCCGAGCTCACGTCATAACATTTATAAGCAGACTGAGACGTAGAATAGCCAAGAAACAAACACGGAGTAGATCGTGGATGTCAAAATGACATTGATAGGCCAGCCGTATGAAGAAGAGAGAGTCCTGTTTCAACAATATGACGATGGCGGCGTTCAGCCGTTCCATTGTGTTCGGGCGTATGGGGAGGAGTGGTAAAATGAGATATACCGTAACGATTAAACAATGGTATGAGTTTAATAAATTCACCCCCATTATCTGAAAAAACACATTTAATGGAACGTTGAAAGAAGTTTTCCACCAAGCATTTATATTGAGAGAAGATGAGGAAAACATCAGATTTACGTTTAAGTGGATACCACCAAATGTATTTAGTATAATGATCAACAAAAATAACATAGTGGTAATATCCATCTAAAGAACATTGAGAGGTACTCCATACATCGGTATAAAGTAAATCCAAAGGCGCACTACTCGACAAGGGGTTAAAGGAGAAAGGTAATTTATGACTTTTATTAATATGACATGATGAACAATGAAAATTGGAACAATCATCAAATTTAGAAAATGCAGTACATCGATGAATGATCGAGCGCATGGTTTTATTATTTGGATGCCCTAACCGATGATGAAGATCGGCTAAGGAGGAAACAACAACAGATGTTGTGTGGACTTGGGGTGCACAGGACTGAGACGGCAAGGTGTAGAGATTATTTTTGGTGGTTCCCCGGAGCAGAACTGTCCCCGTGCACAGGTCCTTTACAAAAAAGAAATTAGAGAAAAATTCCACAGAAACACGATTAGTGCGACATAATTGCGAGACTGAAAGAAGATTATTCTGAAGAGTAGGAACACATAAGACATTAGACAACATGAGAGGACGAGTAGGAGTAGACAGACTAGATCGACCAGTATGAGAAATCGTTAAAGTCTTACCGTTACCCAAACGAACTTCATCCGGACCACCATAATCCATAAGCGTGCTTAGAGAAGATGGATCATTGGCTACATGATGGGAAGCACCACTATCAACAATCCATTGAGGGTTAACAGAACTCGCACCCCCAGGAGATGTGATCATGTTAGCAGTGGGATGATTGGAGGAGGTAGAACCAATAGAGACGTGATTATCCTTTAGAAAACGTTGTAGTTTCCGGCAAAATCGAGTGTCGTGACTCGTGTATTGACAGAAATTGCAGAAGCGTCCACCCCGATTGCCATGCATGTGAGGCCCCCGACCACCATGTTGACCTCCACGTGAGTGACCAGAGGCACCTCCACGGTGGGAAGGACCACCGCGAGCACGCTGAAGATGATTAGCTGTGGGAATAACGTCCGACACAGCAGATGCACGAGCAAGAAGTTCACGCTCACAATCCTCCAAGATAGTCTTTAGTTCACCAATAGAAAAGGAATCATTACGACCCCGTAAAGACTGATATATAGCAGAATAATCTTCCCCCAATTGAGTCATAATGTGAACAGCAACATCCTCCTCTGACACTGGACTTCCTGCAAGGGCCAAGTCAGAGGCGATTTCCGTCATGTCGGCAATAAAAGCTTCAATTGTACGATTCCCGCGAGGATTTTTTGCGAGTTGAGCTTTGAGTGATATAATCCGTCCACGAGACATGCTAGCAAGACTGTTGTTC